GTTTCTCTTTAACTCTGTATTCTCCAGTGGTTTCTATAAACTTCACTTACATACTTCAATGGAAGCTTATTTCCCCCAAGGAATGAAAGAGGTAGATTTGGAGAATAAAGTCAGCATCGTTGAGATGTAAGCAAACTGTGAGATAGAAACTCACAATTTCTAGAAAAAACGTCAATTTTGAGAGAAAAAGTTGCAATTACCTTTTTCATTTTTTTATTCTGAGGTGGAGATAAGTTTCCATATATTTAAAATCATTTACTGCTTAAAATAGTATTTCGTCATATCTGTAAATGCACACTTGTCTGCAGGGAGTGGTAAGGACAACGGCATCAAAGTTGAACATCTACCTTTGGCAAGTTACAGTAACTAACCTGGGCTTGAACCTTTCTTATTTGATGACAATATGACATTGGAATCAAGAAACACCATGTTCACAGAAATTTTTTTTTTTCAATCAGATTAGTACGATATTTTGAATTCAGCTTAAGTTTGTGCAATTATGTTCAAAATGGAAAATATAAGAATTTAATCTTAAGAACCAATGAGAATCACCCAGTTGCATGAGCTATCAATAATGCAAGTCTGGAGAATCATGAGTGTTAATGAAGAGGGAGGGACGATAGCTAATTAGCTGAAATCTGTAGAGTACAAAAAGACCAAAGGGCAGCATCTCAATAGTGCAATTAACTCTTGGACAATGGCTGGAAGTTGGTGGTTGGGTCATTTATTGGCACTGTGTGTGTTCTGTCATGCTCTTCCAAAGTTGAGTAATCTGCCCCAGAACCCTGAAGCTCTGATGCGCCAGCAAACTGACCAGTGGTTTCAGCAGCCGTTGCAACTGACTAATCAGCAGTTTCCTCAGAAGTTTCAGCAGCTGTTGCAACAGACTAATCAGCAGTTTCCTCAGAAGTTTCAGAAGCAAGTGACGAAGGCAGAGCCTTTGGACAAATGTGCTGTAGCTGATTATGAGCAGATCCAATGTGGACAACCTGGTATCAGTGGTGCTGAATGTGAAGCTATCAACTGCTGCTTTAACGGACAGCAGTGTTACTATGGGAAGGCAGGTAAGAGTGTTGAGTTGCTGTTATGCTCCCTGTTAAACTGATCCTCGACATTAACCTGCTCTTGTGCCTGTGTTCCAGTGACCATACAGTGTATACGTACTGGTCAATTTGTGGTAGTGGTGGCTAGAGATGTTACACTGCCTCGACTGAGTCTGGATTCAGTCCATCTACTGGGTGGAAACGACCCACCTTGCAGTCCTGTGGGGTCCACACCTTCCTTTGCTGTATACCAGTTCCCTGTGACCGCATGTGGCACAAGAATGATGGTGAGTAGCTGCTTATGGTTTTATGCTTCATGGCCTATGATGGACTGGATGCCAACAGTGTTGCTATTTGCAGGAGGACAGTGGTTATGTGGTGTATGAGAACCGAATGATTTCCTCGTATGAAGTGGGGATGGGACCATTTGGTTCCATCACAAGGGACAGCCATTTTGAGTAGGTGATCTATGCTGTTCTTAATCGTTAATCTCTGACAAATGCTACAAGCTCCCCGTCTGTTGTCCAGGCTTCTCTTCCAGTGTAGGTACTCTGGCACTTCTGTAGAAGCTCTGGTTGTGGAGGTCAACACTGTTCCTCCACCTCCACCAGTAGCTGCCCCTGGACCCCTCAGGGTGGAGCTTAGACTGGCCAATGGCCAGTGTGTCACCAAAGGGTGTGCAGAAGGTATGTTCTTGTTCCATGTGTTCCTAGTATCTTAAGACTCCAGGTTGCAGCAGTTTCTGGTTAATCACAGTGTTCATCTTCAGGGGATGAGGCCTACACGTCCTACTATAGTGATGCTGATTATCCCATCACAAGAGTCCTGCGGGAGCCTGTGTATGTAGAGGTGCGCATTATGGAGAGGACAGACCCCAACATTGTCCTGATGCTTGGACGCTGCTGGGCAACTTCAACCCCCAGTCCACTCAGTCTACCCCAGTGGGACCTTCTGGTTGATGGGTGAGTGTAATGGCAATGTTTATCCAGCTAGTCTGGGGATTTTTCTAACCTCCTTTTCCCTTTCAGATGCCCTTACCAGGATGACCGTTACCTGACCACATTGGTTCCAGTGACTGGATCGTCTGGGCTTCAGTTCCCAACCCACTACAAGCGCTTTATTGTGAAGATATTCACGTTTGTGGATCCGGCATCACTGGCTCCTTTGCAGGAAACGGTATGCTCCCCTTACTTGACCCTTTAATTTTACTCCTTATAGATTGTATGACTTGACCCTCTGTCCTCCCTGTCAGATCTTCATCCACTGTAGTACAGCAGTGTGCCATCCATCTTCTGGCTCCTGTGAGCAAAGCTGTGGCAGGAAGAGTGAGTTCTTGGTCTAACTTGACTAGAGGAACTGAGTTTCTTAATTGGCCTTCACAATTTTTTTTTGTCTTGTCTCCTTACAGGAAGGGACACTCGTGTCAAGACCATCTCTAGTGAGCAGACTGTGGTTTCTAGTGGAGAAGTTACACTGATCATATAAATCTAGTGGTTAAT